AAATGATGATTTCTTATTCGCAAAAAAAGTACTAATCTATAATGAATGAATTTCATTATTGATTACTAATGGATTGTCATTAGAATATAGTTGATTTCTCTCAGTTGCCGGTGTTGGATTAAAACTAAACTAATGGTATGCATATCATGAAATCATTAATTTTTACATCTGCTGTTTGGCGCTCTCTGAAATATTTTATTTAAAACAAAGTACATGAAAGAAAAGAACAAAACGAGCTGTCGATTTTCGCATTAAAAATTCTATCATATGTATCTTTGTTTTAAAACTGAACATAAATTGAATAAAATGTTTTTCAAGCCTTAGAACAAACCAGTTTGTGACGCACAACTTATACTTTTTTTTTTACTTTGTAAGCTAATGAGTCATAGATTTTAATCTTATGTAAGTTTATAATTTCAACAATGTTCTCTTACCTATAATTAATTTTAATATTGAATTTAAGAGTGTTTGGTAGCTATGATCAGTTATCAGAAAAATTCGCCAAATTTTCTTTCCATGAAACAGTTGAATTGTTTTATGGTATGTGACGCGATGCTATCATATTGGCAGATGAGTTGATTTGTTATCAATTGTTGACTTTGACTAGACATGGAAAATATATGTTTAAAAGTAAGACCTTTTTTATTACTGAAAAATGTATTTGAACGTGTTTTATAATAATTAACTTTCTTAATAATGATATCAATTGAGTATAATAGTTGATACGTTATGTATCTATATATATTCAATGTCTATTCAACCGTATAGATTCGAAAAAATACGCTAAAACTCCAAATGATTCGAAAATCTCTGAAGCAATGTTAATATATGTTACTTCGAAAATCTCTGAAGCAATGTTAATATATGTTACTTCGAAAGAAGATGCACATGTTAGATGATCTTCTTAAAGATAGAATAATTTTAGTCGTGCGTCTTAACATATAACTAAACGTTCGGTTTTGAATGAGCCATATTCACAATTCACTTGTTCGCCACGAACACGCGTAAAAAGTGACCACATATTGACTTAATTGCTGTTAAGGACGACCTCGTTTCTTTCATCGATCTTTCTCAATCGTCTTGCTAGTATATTTTAGCAAGAAGATTGAGAAAGATCGATGAAAGAAACGAGACCGTCCTTAACAGCAATTAAGTCAATATGTGGTCACTTTTTACGTGTGTTCGTGGCGAACAAGCGAATTGTGAATATGGCTCATTGTCTACGTCTAACTCAGTGAGATCTAATATAGTTATATCTATCTTTTTAATCTTCCAATAAAAAGTTTTCATTCACTTGAGAAAAAAAGAAATGTTTAATTTTGCTTTGTTTTGACAGATTGTTCTCGAGATAAAGATCAACTTTTTTGTTATGTGTATACGAGACTATTTATGAATAGAAGTAGAACAAAAACACGTTCGCTTTCGCAAGTTTGTTTTAGTTGATAGAAATGAAAAAGAAAACATTCAGACTTCTCGTGTTGACTATAACGATGTGTTCAGATTAAAGAGGCGTTTACAATGGAAGATTCTACTGTAAATCAAAACATATATTATTTGAACAGTGATCGTATTTTTAAAAGTTAAGTAAATAGAAAAAGAATTATATTAAGAAAAAAAAATCTGTCTTTCCTTCAAAAACATTTTTTGATAGATCTGATAAAAAAAAGAAATATGGTTCACAAAATTAGGATGAAAAAGAGAAACTATCTTCAGTTAGATGCAAAATCTATAGCAGAAAAAAATCTGTTCAGTCATAGCTGAATTAACTGAGATTGAAAAAAGACGACAAACAAGTAATGATAAACACGAAAATTGGTCTTGATGACCTCTCAAGAATGATTAGAAATTTCATTGTTTATAAGTATTTTTAAAAATATTTATCAAATTCATTATTTTAGAATGCTATTCTTGAAATAATATTCCACTTCATCGACTTTCTATAATTATCTTCAACTTATAAGATAAAAATTTTATTTAAAAAAACTATAGACAGTCGGGCGATCTATCTATTTTTTGCAGAAGCACGTTACTCTTTTTCAGTCATTGAAGCTTTCATATTTCGAAATACTCAATGTCAATTTAGGCTCTAATGGCAAGGCATCGATCATGTTTCAAAATCAAAGCTATAATATTATCTCAGAATATCAGATACAGTTTACGCATCTTATGTTTTAACGCTAACGAGGGAACTCGTACAGGTGTCAAATCGCTGTTCGACCGTAGACGATATCCATTTGATGTAGTGCTATCGACAAATAGAAAAGTTTACAATGGTTTAGTTTTCTGGGTGTTCGTTCTCGATATATAGAAATTTTACTCAGTTTTTCAACAAAAAATTGTGTTCTCCCTCAGTTTACATGGAAAGTCAACTTTCGATTTAAAACTTTGCATGAACAAAGTTCTTAATAAGAAAAGTTGATTGTACAACTATTATTTCCTTTGTGAAGATACAAATATATGAACATAATTTGCTTATAAACATGAGACAATTTCAAATATTGAATATGTCAGAATATGAGATACTAGAAAAGTTCCCACGTCTTCAATGAAATAATCTCATGAAGAAGTTTGTTCATGCAAAGTTTGAAGTTGAAATTCTAAAGTCGATTTTCAACATGATCTGAAAGGAATCACAAGTTTTTGTTTCAAAATTTAGTCAAATTTCATTATCTTAATAACGAAGACTCGGAAAAGTAAACCATAGTAAATATTTCTATTGATAACTGTTACTCATCCAATAAACATAATCTTATTCAAGTATTGATTTGATACGTGGATTGATTCTCTCGTTAACATAAATCCTATGTTAAAAATTTCATTTTGAAGTAACATATATGCTAAAACATATAATAAGTACCTTGAGAACGACATTAAGTGGGTGACTCTTTTCGATCGATCTTCTTTTAGATAGAAACAAGCACATATTGTAGAAGGAGTCATACAACAATTTCTAAAAAAGTTTCAATTTTATGCATTAATGTACGTTGGAAAAGAAAATATTGCACTAGGATCATCTTTAACGATTTATATAACAAACTAATACCAACGAGAATTGAAAATTGTATTTTTTTCCTCGAATAAATATACATGATGTATACGTAATTTGAAGAGTAAAATAAGTTTCTAGTCAAACGCGAAAGCTTATAAAATGCATGTACATACATGAATGGTTATGACATAGCATACATGAGAACGCGTCACAGAGTAAACTATACTCGCGTTTATATGCATGTAATTTTGCGCATGTGAACACTAAATATTATCGCTACATGTGAGGGCATGCGAATGCTTTTATAGAGAGCCCATATGTGTGCACGCAAGACAATTTTAGAATATTCAAAAAAAAACGAAGCACATGTAGTACACATATATGAATACTCAAAAGTATTTTTTTTTCAGAAATAAGATTCAAACATATATACTTTATAAGACGAATTTCTTCACCATTCGACCATCTACTTACATTAGAAGTACAATCAAGAATGAAGGGCATAATGATCATCTGATAACTATTAGACACATGCGAACATGTACACTAATAACTATAGACAAATTCGTAAAATTGAACAAGATTTTTTAGTCAATGTAGTGTGAGTATATGAGAATGATTTCATTTTAATGGAAAATAAATACACGCTGGAGAAAAAGACAAAATCCTTGCATGCAGCAGCATGTAGCCTACTAAATGGCAGAAATTTGCATGTTGACGAAGAATCGGTTTGGTTATAGTTTTCGTAACTACGACTCTTCGGCATTGGCATGCAAAATTTAGAAAAATAATTCTTCTCATCTCGCACGTACATGTCAATAACACTTTGGCATTTACATACAAGTCATATATCTTACATAAACACACAAAACTGTTGCATACAATTATTTTCAAGGATAAGAATCATGCACGGTCTCGCATGTTTTGTTTAAAAACTTAAACGATTGTATTTTCATGTACGTGTATGCATGTGTCATTCTCTTGCATCTTCATGCATGAGATATGACAGCTTGAAAATATTTTGCACGTAAACATGAGTTTCTGAAAATTTCCTGCAAATACACGCGTTTTTTACACTTTTGTGTTTGACTGGACTGTACCAGTTCTTATTGTAAAAATTTGCAAATAAATGTGCGATATAAAAAAATTTGGAAGATATTTTATATTAGAATATGAGAAAACGTGCATCTGTGTAATCAAACGATGACAATCTCACAGTTTTTTTTCTGCGTAAGTCAAAATTGAAAAAAACTGGATTCAAACATGCTGTTTTCTCTTACATACATTTGATTTGTGTTTGTGAATAAGTCAAAGTATCAGTCTCATCCGATAAATAACACGAATTGAATAGAACGAAAAACATTGCGAAAGATAATATATTGGAAGTACTATTAATACAACTTCAACATATGTGTTCACCAAAACTACACGCAAATGATCTTAAGCAACCTCGATGCATTGTACTTATGCATAAAATTATATACTGAAGTGGCATTAAAAGAACTTTTCTGTTTTTTTCTTCCGATGTTTTTTTTTTTACTTCCGGCATTTTTATTCGTTCTACCAACGTGATATTTACTATATTGAAAAGAATTATTTGAAAACTTCACGGTAAATTCATAAAATGTATTCAAATTATTTTTCCTTAGAAGAAGAACAATAACGACGAGGATATTTGTGTTGAGCAAAGAAATGTTTACAAATGTTTTCGATAATAATTGAAGGAAATTAATTATTTCGAAAATGTTTATGTCGATAGTTAAATAAATTTTTTTTATAATTAGAACTATTGGAAATTTTGAATATGATAATGACTATATTAGGTTATTAAGTCCAAGATGTTTTAAAGAAAATAAATCAATATCAATAATGATTATTCTCAATCGTTATCTTCGACACCTTTTATTTTTGTTCGAAATTCATTTTTTAATGATTACTTAAATAAAGATTTCTCTTCTTTTTTTTTAGAAATATTTTTAAAAAAGAATTTTCCAATGAAATCTAATTAAAAATGTATTTTCGTCGATATCGTTTATTAAAAGTGTTACCGATTCTTATTTGTTTAATAATTCCATTGTATCATGTATATCGTTCATTATTTAATTCAATCAAAAATCAACCATTGATTATAAATAAAGAAACAAAATCATTGATTTCATTTGATTTAAATAAAGATTTTGAAGAAATTTCAGAAAATCTTCCACCATTTTATATTCGTTTACCAAATTTTTCTGATAATGAAGCAAAAAATTGGTTTTATAATTCAACATATTATAAAATAAATTCTAAAACATGTTCAAATAATTCTTGTGAACAAAATGGAATTTTATTTAATGATATAAAAGAACATCTTTCAGTTAAAATAGCATTTATTAAAAATGGTCTTTATTTAAATGATGATTGTGGTTATAATTATGGAGATACAAATATTAGAAGAACATTTCAATATGATAATGAAGCAACAGTTATTTATGATAAAGCAATTCTTTATACAGTTCCTGATGGATGGGCTTTTCAACATTTTCTTGATGGTATTGGACCAAAATTATCTCATTCACGATCTTATTTAGATAAATATCCAGATGCTAAAATAATAATAATAAGCGGTGCTCGATTTGATCGATCTGTCAAAGAAATTTGGTCACTGCTTGGTTAGATTTCATTTTTTCAACTTATTCTAGATAAAACAAAAACAAAAACAAAAGCAACATTCTATTTTTAGGAGTTGAAGAATCTTCACGAATAATTCATTATACAGGAAATATGAAAGTTGGTGCTCATCTATTAATAAATCCATGTCGCACTCCTGGTATTCATCCTCGTTTATGGCATGATGCACGTGAAATGTATTGGTCAATATCAAATATATCAAAATCATTAAATGAAAATAAACGAATTAATTTTATTTATATTCAACGTACACCATCAAATGCAATGAATGGAGGTCGACTTATTTTAAATGAACAATCATTTATTGATTTATTAAAAGAATATTGTTTAAAAAATTCTTTAAATTATATTCAATATGATCATTCAAAAGATGTCAAACATATAAAACATCGTATTGAACTTTTTTATAATGCTCGATATATAATTGGTGTTCATAGTGGTGCTTTATCAAATATGAATTTTGCTCAATCAGGAACAACAATTATTGAAATAATGCCTTTTAGATCAAGCACAAGTTATCTTCCAATGACTTGTTCAATGTTTAATCCTGAAGATTTAAAAGCATGTGCTGGTTATATATTATATACTCAATCTCAATTACTTAATCAAACTTATTGGATGCTACCTACTGTTGTTAATAATCAAGGAAATATGAATGTAGATTTAAATAGAGTGAAAAATCTTCTTCAACAAATTTAATTCATTTTTCTTTGATTTCATTTATAAAACAATAAATATTCATTTTATTTATTTTGATCAATAAAAATTTTGTTGTTTTTTTTAAATAATAATTATCGTCGTTTATTTACATGGTTAATAGGAGGTCGTTTTGCGCGAGCATTATCAGAATCCGATGATTTATCATTATCGGATGAACTTTCTTCGTCACTTGAATCAGCTAAAAAAAAAAAGGGTATTTTTTTGTTTGTTTTAATTTAAATATTGAAATTAATATTATATGAAAAAACAAAGATCCTACTTGTTTCATCGGACTCTTTTCTATTATTTTTCGTATTCACAGTTGATGGTGATGGTTTAGTAATAGTTGATATTCCTGTTTTTGAAATCGGTGTATTTATTTGAGATCGTGTTTGAGCTGAAGTAATGCCAGACAGTGGTGTTGCTTGTGTTACTCTTGTTGTTGAACGTGAAGTTTGTGTTGATGATAAGCCTCCTTTTATTCCTGGTGTTATATTTGGTGTTGTATCAGGCAACGTTTTTGCTATTTTCTCCAATTTACCTTTTCTTGCTTGTTTTTCTCCTTCTAATGCTTGATTTATGTAGGATGGTGGTTCGTTTGATTGTTGTACTAGTTCTTCTTCATTATGTTTTGAAATTGAAGATAGATTATATGCCGAACTTCTTTTAAATAATCGACAAAAACAATAACCAAGACTTTCTCGAAATACTGAAAATCCCGTAAGTTGAGAATCATGTATTAATGTATCGTCACTCGTCGTATTTGTCGTCGTTTCAGACATTATCAAAATGGATATGTCAATTATAAACAAATCAAGTCACGCATGAAAACATTTTTTTTTTATCATAAAAAATTTTCAAATATTACACCATCGGTTTATACAAATAAATCTATTTGATCAATATAAATATTCGACTTTATTGTTTTAAATTGAGATTTTTAAATAATGAATAGTGTAAATACAGAGCTGTCGCGAGCGGGGGGAGGACTGGGGTCACTCCCCTCCAATCTTGAAAAATTTTCGTTTTTTCTCAGCAAAGTTTCAGCATTTTATTCGTTTTTCTGCTCACCGATTCTCAAAAAATCGCTCGACTCCCCCTTCTAATCCGGTAAACTTTAGCAAAAATTTTTCAATCGATCTCTTGAGTCGTCGATCCTCTCCCCAATCTTGAGGGCCTCGCGATAGCTCTGTGTAAATATTGTTGTTTTATCTGAATGATTCATAGTATGCGTGCATGACATCGATGTTCGGATTTCTGTCTTTATTATTCATTCCTATTAGAAATCGAAACTCCACCATGGAGACCACAAGGCGAAAGGAGGAGCGTTAGACGGAAGGATGCAGATACCGTCGTCGGTAAAAGAAAAAAGACGAAAGAAACCAACCATGAACGAAAGATATCAAAAATCATAGCGACTCAGACGTCGCCCGGGTGAACGAGGTCCGCGTGTTCTGTCAAGGAACCAGGACAGAGTCGAAAAATTGGTTACTGGAACAACCATTCAGAGAACAACAACAATAGTGCAATCAAGGGCAACAAATAGAATCCCAAGACAAACATAAATTACAGCAGCAACGACCAAATGTGACTCGCAAAGACTGAAGATGACAAAGGATATTTTTACTGTTGGTACATGAAATTTTCGAACATTATAGACAACTAGTAAGCTGGAACTACTAAGAAATGAAATGAAGCGCTACAGATACGATGTCATCGGCATTTCAGAAGTGCGTTGGACAGGAAAAGGTGAAACATCACACGATGATTTCATTTGGTCTGGAGAAAGCAACACACACACACACATACACACACTAAAGGCGTTGGCATGCTACTCAGTGCAAGAGTCCGGAAGTCACTTGTGGGCTACAATCCAATCAATTCCAGATTAATCACGGCAAGATTTAGAGCAACACCATTCAATATAACAATAATTAATGTATACCGTCTAACATCTGATGCATCGGAGAACGACATTGCAGCATTCTATGGCAACTTGGAACAGGCTATGATAGAAATTCCTAAAAAAGATATACTTATCAGAACTGACGATTGGAACTCAAAGGTGGTGACGACAACACAAGCTGGGAATCCGCCATGGGTAGATACGGTTATGGGATAAGAAACGAACGTGGTGAACATTTATTAGAGTTTGTAACATTACATAACTGATTGATTCCCTAGTAAAACATTTTGTAAGCAAGATCTTGGCCAAGATACAAGGTACAGAAATGTTAACAGATCTTTAAAATTTAGGTGCAAGATAATCATATTATCTTGTACCAAGATCTTGAATACAGATGTATAATATCTTGGTTACAGACATGTAAGATCTTGGGTACAGATTCATAAGATCTTGGATACATACTAAGATAAAACGTGTTGCATGCGTCGTGATTTGCGACACAATGCATAATACATTCTGAAAGCGTGCTTCGAACCTATCAAATTGCGCATTTATTATTTTTTTCTGTAAAACCATGTAATGACATTTTTTCAGCTTGTTTTCATTTTAATTGTTTCTATCCCAAATAACTGAGGCAAGTCAGATCTTGAAATCTGCCTGATCTTAAGATGGTTCGATCTCCATCAGACTGCTTCAGGGTAGTCTTCTCTCAATCATCGATCGAGATCAGCATGTTCTCGAATGATCAACACTCGAGAAATAGTTTTTAAAAAAATGATGTTGAAAATGTATGTTTTCTATGTTCAATCACGTTGTTTATATATGGCTCTATCTGCATTAAAAAATGGTGAATGACTAGTGAGCATATAAACACTAATGATGTTGCTCTTTTACTCAAGATCTAGTGAGAAGATAATAGTAAACAATATCTTTTCTATGATCTTGACAAGATCTTAAGTACAGATTTATCTGATATAACCAGGATATTCACGTACAAATTGTCTTTTCAAGATCTTATGAAGATCTTGCTTAAAAGATGTTCGACTAGGGTTTGTAACACAATATTTCAGCAAAAACCAAGTCGAAAATGGACATGGGAATCACCAGACGATATGCACAAGAACATTATTGACCTGATCACGATACAAAAACGCTGGAAGACATCCGTCATCAAGTGTAAAACATTTCAAGGAGCTGACATCAGCTCTGACCACACCTTAGTTTTGTGCAATATCAAACTAAGATGGAAAAACTTACACAACAAACCAAAACATTATAATCGACCCGACATGAACCAGCTCAACGATCAAACAGCAAGGAAATCTTACCACACAAAACCGGAAAACAACTTTCACACAAACTGCACTATAGAAGAACATGCATTACAAATTGGAAAAGCAATCAAAGAAGCATTACAGGCGAGTATAACTACTCAAAAAGTAGCAAATAAACCTTGGATTTCTGCTCAAACATTGACTTTAGCAGATGAAAAACGAAAAGCAAAATAAGTAAAACATCTCTTCCTGAAACTCAACGAAAAGTACAAAAATCTATGCAACAAGATGAAAAAATCAGCAAGAAAAGACAAGGACAAATGGATACAAGATCCATGTGAAGAAATTTAAAAAGGTTCACAAGTTGGTAATAGCAAGCAAGTATACAATTTGATGAAACTCTTAAAAAAGAAATACCTACAAAAATCAACTATCATAATAAACCAAGATGGCACAATAGTACAATCAAAAGAATGTATAATGCAAACGTGGACACAGTATTGCAGTGGGTTGTATGAAGACACAGGTGGTAGAGAAAAAATGGTAAAAGAATTTGAAAATATAACTCCTCCCTACGACAACGATCCAAATGGCATACTATATGATGAAATAGAAGATGCAATAAGCAAACTGAAGAAAAACAAAAGTCCAGGAACCGACGAGATTACAGCCGAAACGCTTCAAGCTGGAGGAGAACAACTAATATACAAAATTCAGGAACTGTGCAATAGAGCATGAAAAGAGAAAATAATTCCAGATGAATGTGGAAGATCAATCTTGATTTCAATTCCTAAGAAAGGAGACCTCAGCGAATGTTCGAATTACAGAATAATATCTCTAATCAATCACACGTGAAAAGTTCTGCTAATGTTACTACTAAAGAGACTGAAGGATCAACTGGAGCCATATTTGTCAGAAGAACAGGCTGGATCCAGAAAAGACCAAAGCACAGTCCACCAAATTTTGATACTCAGACTTCTAGCAGAAAAAGCAAAACGCCACGGTAAGAAAATTTACAACTGTTTTATCGATTTCCCAAAAGCATTCGATACAATCAAATACAAAATCATATGGGCTATTCTTAGATCGTATGGTGTGGACAACAAGGTGATAATATTACTAGAAAAAATTTATGGAAGACCTCCATTGGCAGTCCGAATAGGCATGGATATTGGTGAATGATTTCAAACAGGTATTGGAATTAGACAAGATGATCCCTTGTCACAACTTCTGTTCATCGCTTATATGGAAAACATAATGAACAAAGTAACATAAAAAAACAATGGAGTCAATGTCAGTAGAACATTTGTCAACAATTTAAGATTTTCTGACGACATTGATCTTTCAAGTGAGAACCACATCTCACTTCAAGAACAAATTGAACAACTCACAAAAATAGCAGAAGAAGCAGGACTGGTGGTAAACACAAACAAAACAAAAGCAATGATGTTCGGTGATAAAAATATTGACAAGAAAATGAAGATAAAAGGTGAAAATATCGAAAACGTCGAGGAGTTTGAATATCTGAGTAGCTTGCTAATCTGGGACAACGACTGTTCAAGAGAAATTAAAAGAAGAATTAACAAACCAATTGGTGCAATGGCAAGCTTAATATATATATGGAACACGAAGAAGCTGACGGTGAAAAGCAAACTGAAGCTCTTAACTACCTGCGTCTCCAGTGTACTACTATATACTTCAGAAACATGGACACTGAAAGAAACCGACAAAAAGAAATTACTTGCATTTGAAATGAGGTATTATCGAAGAATACTTGTAATTCATTGGAAGGGCATGGTACGAAATATCGACATCAGGAACTAAATAGCAGCTCATGAAACAATAGTAGACATTATTAAGAAAAGAAAATTAAGGCTATTTGGACACATCTGCAGAATGGATAATATCAGACTTCTAAAACAAATAGTATTCTCCAGAATGAATGGCAAGTCTAGAAGAGGGCGACCATACAGAGAATGGCGGTTAGCCCCAACGGGCGAGAAGTATATGGGACATCAAGATTAGAAATCGACGGAAATGAACACCAAAATCATTAACATTTCGGCAACGACCGACACAAAATATAAATGTGCTCGAATTGTATTATTATCAATCAATTTGAACGTCTTGGAATTTTGAGAGATGCTATATGCACTGCATGTCCTAGTCAAAGTACTCAGAAGGTACTACTCAGGTCATACTCACGCTAGAAAATGCCACGAGTACTCATGGGTTTTGAGTACTCATCAGTCATACTCGCACTAGAATCTGAGTATTTGAGTACAACGATTGAGTACTAGCCATGCAATATTGAGTGTTTTGGTAGCACTAATATCTAATTTTGTGTACTCCGCTGATCTAGACAAAAATACTCACAAGCGTATTTCTTGGTTAGTACCGTTGTACTACATTCATTTTTATTTAATATCAAACTAATAACAAAAAACACGGGCACACGCAATAGAAGTTTGGGGAAAATAATCAAAACAAGAAATACAAGTGTGACATGAGTTTCATACGTTTTAACATAAAGGATACGGACATAGAAATTTTCATTATTAGCAAAGAAAGTTAAATATTTTCTGTATTTCGATACAATAAA